TTTTACTGCATCTCTATCTATTGAAGCCACAACTATTCATATATTCAACAATAAATAAATAAATTAATAGTGCAAAAAACGTCAATATTACAATCGGATTGGAGAAATAAAATAAAGAAAGTACATGTACAAAAATGATAAAAGAAATTACCTTGGTTTTTGCCTGTGTCTTTAAACTTGTTGCTGCGCTTTTTGTATTGATTGCTGGTTGAACTTTTTGGTATTGATGCTTTCGAGTCCATAGAACCTTTTATATACTTGTAGTTCCAATGCTTGTAAATCTGTTGAAGAGTTTATGCTAAGTTCTATACGTTAAAGTTATCAATGGGAGTCTGCTCCTTTATTCGCAGAGCATATCAAAACTAATTGGAAATTTTACTTTATAATACGATTGACAAAAAGGCATGAGAAATTAATGAATGGGAGTCCGCTTATTTAATAGAGAGAATATAAGATAGTTATCTATATATGGGCATCAAAATCTTTTATTTAGAGTAGAGAATATAGGAAATTCGGGTCAATGATACCAGGATATCTCTAAATCGGCGCATAAATTTAGATTTTAAGACTCTCCGTGAATTACAATATCAATCTTTACATATTTATCTCAATAAATAGGGTCTACGAAGATCTTTACATAGTTATATAAATTAAGGATAAATTCCAATCTTTACATACTTATCTAGAAGTTAGAGTTGTTAATTTCAGATGTTTTAGAAATATTGTGACATTCAATATCTTCGAAAAATCCAATATGTTTGAATTACGTGAAATGTTAAAATTGGTTGTTAAGGATAAATTCCAATCTTTACATACTTATCTATAGATGCTTCCTTGAGTTAAATTACACAATAATCGGATATGTTGGTATTACTTCAAATTTAATATTTTTTTATATTACATTTGTTTTAATTTAAACTAAAATTGATTATGACCATTGGTTATATCCAAATTTAATATTAGCCAAATTATGAAAAAAATAGGATCGAATATAATATTGTATATAGATGCTTCCTTGAGTTAAATTACACAAGAATATGATATGTTGGTATTACTTGAAATTTATATTTTTTTTATATTACATTTGTTTTAATTTCAACGAAAATTAATCATGACCATTGATTATATTCAAATTTTATATTAGCCAAATTATGAAAAATATTGGATCGAATATAAAATTGTCTATAGATGCTTCCTTGAGTTAAATTACACAATAATAGGATATGCTGTATTACTTGAAATTTAATATTTATTTATATTACATTTGTTTTAATTTAAACGAAACTTGATTATTACCATTGGTTATAAGTTGGAATTGTAAATTATTTAAAGTAGTCCGCAACAAATATTTCAAAAATCAATACAACTATAACGAACAAAAAAAACCGGATATAAGGAAAAATAGGAAAAAATTAGTAAAGCATGAACTAATAAAAATTTTATTAATGACATAATATATTTTTCCATCCGCAAATAATAAAAACGACTTAATATATTTTTCTAACCAATATCATTAGTATTGGGGAAAGGGTCGTGTAGTTTATCACACAGATCCTTCTATTGATCAAAAGCTTCATTCTGTGGTTTGTTGTGTTGTTGACGGATGTGTTGGGTTCAACTTCATAGTTGCGGACCATATATACATCGCCTTCTTTCAATACATCTCGAAAGGCCGCCATATGCGCTTAACGTATAATCTCAACAATATATGCACCCTACCATATAAAGTTCTACAAATGAACATAAATAATTTACATAATTATGTATTTTTTATATAACAAATGAAAATATTACCTCTTGATCCTGAAACAGGATATGAAAACAGTTCCTGCTCTCCAGTTGGAAATGGGTTTCAATAATGCGGACTGCTCTTAACCTCAAAATAGGCTTATTTGCCCTGTTGACGGCGGCGAGTGTATCAAACAATAGTGCCATTATATTTTTCCTTCTATGTATTTCATGAGTGATTATTTGTAAGATTATCTTTGCAAGAATTAGAGAAAAAGAAAAGGCTGGGTATGTATATATATAGGGTTCTATATTTATTTCTATTGGTTTTTTTTTTTGTTATATCACATGTTTCCTAAATAATTGGCTCCCCAGTTATTGAGATACACGAATTCCTCCAAAACGTGTGGATTTTTATGCGGGCAATTAAAAAAAGGAATGCATCACAACAGATTTCATAAAAATCTTCCATATAAGCGCATGAACCATTTAATCCTAAAAATAAGGAAAGATTTTAGCCATTAATTTCAAAAACAATCCTAAAAATAAGGAAAGATTTTAGCCATTAATTTAAAAAACGTGTGAATAGCGGGTGAATGAGTTTTAGGATGTTTAAATTAACTTTTTAAAATAGTTGCCATATTCAGTAAGTCAAAAAGGTTGACTGCATTTTTTTAAAACTTTCCTCATTTGATTTATCCACCTCTCTTTTTCAATATATATAGATGTACTCTCCAAATTTTTTGGGACAAATTTGCCCTCCTAATTCAAATTCATTTACTTATTAATATTTAACTACTTAGATTGTTTTAATTTTTAGCCGTTCACTATTTGTATTTGTGTGGTTAGGATTGCTTCTTATTTCTCACACTAAGACTTATTTGTATTTTAACTTATAACCCTATACACATACACACACACACACACACACACACACACATATATATATATATATCTGTTTCTTGATTTAATCATAGCAAATTGATAAGTAACAAAAAAGGAAAATATTTGTATTTCCAATGACGAGCTTAGTTAAAAGAGCTCTCTCTCTCATAAATGCATCGATACTGCATGATTAAATTTCTGAAGCTAAAAAGTATTAGCAGTCACCCAATTTCAAGTCTTAGATTTTATGTGCGTTCTTTTTTGTTAGAATCTCAAATTTGTGTGCGTTGACGACAGTTATTAATCAATGTTTAAGCATATACCTTACGTTAAATTCAGAAGCAGAACTGTAGACCGTGACTTTAAGCCATAAGCCAAGCTGCTACCCAAGTCAATTACAAATTTGGTTAATTAACTTCAATTTTTAAAAATTAATATGTAAATATAAATTTAAGATTTAAAAATTACATGTGTATGCTTATTTCTGTTTTAAATACACATTAAAGAAAGATAAATAAATATTCTTCTGAATAAAAATTACAAAAAAAAATTGATGTTTAATATATTGAAACCATTATTTCAATTATGATCTACTTTTGATTTATTAAGCTAATTTTATTTAACAAAACAATATATAGTTACAGGTCTTATTGTATATAAATCTCTGAATAAATTAATATTTTGACTAAGAATACAAAGAGGTCTGTTGGTTCAATTCTATTTTCTTTGATTTTTATTGAATCCAATGGTATGGTATCGTTGTATAATGATCCGTAACCCAACCCGCTCGAGTCGGAAAACTGTGACCTATGATGCAACTTGAGGGGTCATATGCTAAGATCTTTTGGAGCATGAGCTCCTTCGGCGCCATACGGTACGGCGCTTTTGACACGGGTCCCGCTCCAGAGACTAAGTTGATGGTAAATTCCACCTGTCGGTCAGGTGGTCCTCCAGGAAGCTGATCCGGAAATACGTCTATGAAATCACGAACAATGGGCACGTCTCTGGGTGATGGCCCCTTCGAAGTCTCCCCGACAATGCTGAC